CGCTCCCGCCCTCCGAGCGGGGGGCCTCCCAGCCGGCATGGGCCAGCCGGCACCAGCTGAACGCCGGGGCAACTGCGGAGCCCGGGTCTGCGTTCTGACCCTTCGGTGGGCGGACGCGGAAGGTGGTGGGGCGGCCAGGACCACTCACCCGGGCTGGGGAGGGTCCTGCGGGTCCGCGCCGGCCTGGGACGCGGTGGCCCAGCCTCCTGCCCACTTGGGACGTGCCTTCCCACGGGAGATGGCCTCAGGCTCGGCGCTGCCTTCTCGTCTGTGCCCTGGGCAGAGTGGGCCTGCCAGCAGGGCTGCTGCCAGTGTGGGGAGCCCTCCGAGGGTGGAGGGGCAGCTGGCGTGCCCAGGAGGTCCTGACCCCGGAGAGGGAGGGGATGCTTCCACATGGCTCCTCTGTGCGCGCCCCCGACCCGCCCCGCCCTGGGGCCCCCTCCGCCGTATTCTTGCACCCCTTCCCCCTTCCCCAGCTCGAGCTGCCTTTCCTGAGGACCTCTCCCCCCCACGGAGGCTTCCCCCCTGCACTATGGCCCCTGTCCCGTCTGGGGCCGGACTTTGCGCTTCTGAGGTTGCAGGGGCCAGAGGCAGCCTGAGGCCTCTCCCTGGATGCCCTTAGCACTGCCCACCTGCACCCCCTCCAGTGCACCCCAGCCCTTCTGACAGCGGATTCTGGGGCCATCAGGCCCAACGCCAGTGCAGCACAGGCAGAGAAGCAGCCAAGGTCCCAGCAGAGAAAGGGTTCCAGAAGAGGAACTGAAGTAAGGGTTATTTATTTGAGAGATTTTTGCTATAGGGCACATGTGCCCAGCAGAGAGACAGAGAGACAGAAAGCAAGAAATCATTCCCAGGGTATGTGTGGTGGGGACATGCACACACATGTGCCCAGTGTGAGTTTCAAGCCGCTAGCCATGGGATTCGAACCACGGTCTGCCATGTGGGAGTCCAGCACCTTACCAGCACGCCACCTGCTGGCCGGTATACAGGGGGTTTTATCCAGCAACCTGAGCAATGTGCTAGGTCTCCCATAACAAAGTGGCCTTCAGAAAACAGCTGCATGCGTCTGGGTGCTTTGTCACCGCCGTCGCCGGGGTCAAAGTGGCCTTCAGAAAACAGCTGCATGCGTCTGGGTGCTTTGTCACCGCCGTCGCCGGGGTCTGCAGACCTCCATCTGCATTTTTGTTGGAACACAGTTCGCAAACGGAAGCAGTTGCCGTGGCTATAGCTGTTTGCCAGAACCAGCCACTCTGGCTCCATCTCGGTGAAGCTCACTGTGTTTGCCCTGGGCCTTTTCCCTGACTGTGTGTCCCAAGCGGTCTCCTCACTTCCTCCGGGACCCAGCACCAGGCCGGGCGGCCCTCCCCTGCAGCGGCTGCTCAGACAGCAGCTCTGAGGCCGTCCCTCAGCTCTGCCCTGCAGAGCCCATCTGCAGCACCGAGGGCCACCTGTGTGGCCCGTCCATGCCGATCTCACAAGCTAGAGGCCACTTCGCGGCGGCTGCAGGCCCGACAGTGCACCAAAGCCTGGCACCGTGGGGACGCCCGGGCTCCCTGTCTGACCGAGGTGTGTTCACAATACTAGCTGGCAGGGTGGGGCAGGGGCCGTGGCACCGAGAGACCCTGTCTCAGAAATAAAAGTGAAAGCGACAGCAGGTTAAGGGCCAGTCCCGAGGACACCAGGTTCGGCCCCCGACGGCAGGGCCTGGACCATGTCGGACATGTCCTGCGGTTGGGGCTGTGGGTGGGGCTCCTGGGAGGGTGCAGGCCCGCAGAGCCAGGCCAGGAGCAGCCACGAGGGGCCCTGCTGAGCAAAGCCGAGGGCCCGCTGAGCCTGCCACTGCGCCCGGCTCTGCACCAGCCAGCTGCAAGCTCTCTGAGCTCTCTGAGTTCAGGTGGCCAGAGCTGCAGGGATGTGGACTCAGTGCAGCCTGCCCGATCACGCCGTAGGATGCATGTGGGTCTGCTCACGTGTGCTCATCTGTGGGAGGCCGAGGCCAGGCAGATGGCCGGGCAGCGTCACTGCTCTGATGGTGGGAAGTCCCCGGGCGCCACTCTTGGCACGGAGTTCCTCGGGCCCCTGGGAGAGATGGGGGCCAGCAGGTGTCGCTCTGGGCACTGGGCATTCCCACGCCCCTTCCTCAGTGACACGCTCACCCACCTGGGAAGCTCAGAGCGGCTGGCCTGTCCCAGCTGCAAGGGCACAGGTCTTTTTTTTTTTTTTTTTTTATTTATTGTTTTCAGTTTTTTTTTTTTTTTTGGG